GGATGGGGGGCGGATGGCGGCGGACGGCGAGCGCGCCGCTGCTGTCATGGCGGCGGCCGGGCGCGGGCTTCGCTTGGGTGCGGGCCGAGCTGCGTGGCGGCGAGGCGGGGGGACGGGACGGGACGACTGCCGCTGTGAGAGCGCGGGTCCCGGCCTGGCCGGGCTTCCTGCAGCCCCGCCGTGTGCCCGCTGCCCCGGCGCCGGGAAGGGCCTCGATGTGGGGAGCGCTCCGCGGTTGTGGGGCGTGTGGGAGGACAAGGCCAGCCCTAGCCCTGGCCCCGGCCCTGGCTGTAATCCTGCGGCCGCAGGCCTGGCGTAGTTTGCTCGCTGTAGAAGCGGGGGTTCTGGGGCGGCGTCGGTGCAGGCTTCGTTGTGTCTGGTGTCTTTTAGCTGCAGAAGTCAAGAAATGAAGGGTGGGGGGTGTCTTCGTGGGGAAGTTGGTTAAAGTGCACCACTTGTGTCGCTCCTGAGCGGTAGCCGGAATTGTAGCGCTGTACGGGTTTTTTTTGGTCATCTTAGGTTTATGATGTTTCTGCAGTTGATTTCTGTTTTTCTGAAGTAAATTGAAATGAGTGCTTGCCTCACTGGAGTGGGTAATGCTGACCCGTCTGCATTCACATACTTGCCAACCTGTCCACGTTAAACTTGAAAGCCCAAAATGCTGACATTTGTATTTCCATTTTGCAAAGCGTGTGGAGAGGAAGGTCTTACTTCAGCCCGATTTAATCTGAGAAAATCAGTAAAAAAAAATCTTTTCTGCTTTATTTAAATTAAGGGTTGATCCTTTCTCCAAAAAGGACTGGTATGACGTCAAAGCACCAGCAATGTTTAATATCCGAAACATCGGGAAGACGCTTGTCACCAGGACTCAAGGAACTAGTGAGTAGTGGGGTTTTATGCAGCAGAGGGAGATGTATTTGTTCCATGTGCTAGCTCCAGATGAGACTCGATTAAAGAACTGCTGACAAATAGTTTTTGCTCATAATACTATGAACCTGGCAGTTTAAAAAAAAAAAAGTGCCTCTAACTTAATTGCTTGTGTGTGTTCTTAGGTTGACAGAGTTGTTTAAATAAATGAGCTTAGTTGCAGGGCGGTTAGTGTGGTGTGGTCCTTGTTTGTACGAGAGTACCAAACCATGGATATGATATGAAAGGACATGCCTGAAGCTTCTTATGACCTGCTCTTGTAACCTGATGAGTTTGAGGAAAGTTAAGAATTAAGGATTCGTTCTGATTATCACAGGGACACGTGGTGACAGTGCGATAGGAGACCTTGGTCATGATAGGATCATAAAGAGCATTGTGTTAGAAGAGACTGAAATTTGAAGCTTTTAGGTAAAGAGATCTCTGTTGATAGTTAGGATTGCTAACTTAATGGGAGCACATGTAGATGTATCACAGAACGGTAAAGGTTTTTTGTATGGTCTGGCACACCTTAGGAAAAGGAAGCCTTTTGGAAGGTTAGCTGTGTAGAATGGCTAAATAGAGTGGCATTATACTATTCCGGTTGCACTTAAAAGTTACAAAGGTGGTCATTATTTTGAACTGTATACATGTGAAACAAGTAAAATAAGGTCACTGTAAACCAGGCATGAGTAAGCTAGTGTTAAAATGGTTAATTGTTAGAGGTAGAGCTGTAAAATGACTGTACTTAGGTGTTTGTTGCTGCTTTATCTCTGCTGAGCACATGTGGATTTTTATGTTTTCATTATTGTTCATTTGTAAACCCCTCCACTTAAAAAAAACCCGAACTGTTACACAGGCTGGAATATGCAGTATACTGGTATTTGTGCTTAGCATCTGATATAATTATCTTAAAAAGATTGCTCACAAAGTTAACAAAACATGTTATTTGGTTCTCTAAGTTGATTTGATCTTGTTCAAGATACATATAGACTTCAGAGTTGTGAAGCTAGTGGCATCACCTACTATTAGAAAACATCAAATGGAAGTTCGGTATCTGATTTGAATAATACTTTTCTAATGTTAATAAAAGGTGTTTTATTTTGTTTCATATTACAGAAATTGCCTCTGATGGACTGAAGGGTCGTGTATTTGAAGTGAGTCTGGCTGATCTGCAGAATGATGAGGTTGCCTTCCGTAAATTTAAACTGATAACTGAGGACGTTCAGGGCAAGAATTGTCTGACCAACTTCCATGGAATGGACCTCACCCGGGATAAAATGTGTTCCATGGTCAAAAAATGGCAGGTGTGTAAGGAACAAGGTCTGCGTTGTGGCTAGTGCCTTTAGGAAAGGAGGTAACCACTGATGCATTGTAAAGCTGTGTTTGAAGTGGCATCAGCAGATATTAATGAATGTCAGCTGCATGGTTTTGAGAAACCTGTCCATCACATTGATGATAAATGACTGTTTCCTTTTTAGACAATGATCGAAGCCCATGTAGATGTCAAAACTACCGATGGTTACCTACTGCGCCTCTTCTGTGTGGGTTTCACGAAGAAGCGTAATAACCAAATCCGCAAGACCTCGTATGCCCAGCATCAGCAGGTTCGACAGATTCGCAAGAAGATGATGGAAATCATGACCCGAGAGGTCCAAACCAATGACCTGAAAGAAGTTGTCAATAAGCTGTAAGCTTTGGCCACGTTTCCTTTTTTTATCCGATACAGTTTAAGTAGTTTGTTAGTTGTTACTGAGTACTTGGGGAATGCTGGTGCTTCGTGTACTGTTTGGCAGAGACCAGGCAAGGTGCGTCTCGTTGAAAAGCTGATGTGCCATTTTCTTCAAATACTCTGTTAGTCTCTGCATCATATTTGACTTTCATAAACCATCATGTTTGCATAAATGTAAAATCAGGCTCTCCAGTTTTTTGATTCATGTTTCTACAGACTAAAACTGGAATTCTGATCAGTTGGGGCTGTGAATGTTCTGGGTTCTTCTGATAGAAGGAAGTTTTCCGAAGTGTGGTGTTTGCTTCCAAAAGTTTAATTGCAGATTTGCTCTCAAAATGAGCACATTTGCACTATCTATCTATATCTCCCTTCTAACATTGCAAGGAAAATGTCTTCGAATCTAGACATATTTGAAGAAAATTGTCAGAGTGTGAAGGTAGTATTGATGATGCAAACTCAGTTTTTAATGTTGTGCTACTGATGTGCTCTCTGATTTCTCAGGATCCCAGACAGCATTGGCAAAGACATAGAGAAGGCGTGTCAGTCCATTTACCCTCTTCATGATGTCTATGTCCGCAAGGTTAAGATGCTGAAGAAGCCCAAGTTTGAATGTAAGGCAATCACTGCAAATGTTCAGTGTTCTTAGTGGAGGGTGTGGGAAGCTGTTAGTTTAAAATGTGTTTGCTTTTGGATAAAGATGTTAAAACAGCATTGTAAGCTTAAGTAGCTGTAGTAGTAAAAAGGCTTGTGCTTCTAGTCTGGCATTTGGCTTGAAAGCCAAGCAGTGATCATTCAGTTTGGAGCTTTTTTTGAATTCTTGCCTGAAACTGCTGCTGAATGTTCAAAGGCTTTGGCTTGGGAATGAATGATGACAAAATGTTTCGGTCCCAGATGACATGGAATGATTCTATTTTCCCATTTTCTGACATTCCCATATAATGCAGTAGTAGGTTCTTGACTTTATCTCTCTTTAAAAAAAGTTTAATTTGCAATTTCATTATGTAGCACTTATTTCACTGCTTGTTTTTATCTGACTGTCAGTTATTGAGCCAGCATCTCCTTGCATGAGCTTTCTGGAACAGACTTGATCATACCTACATTAAATGTTCTGGTGTTTTAATTTGTATATGATGAGCAATTCAGTAATTGAAAAGTGTTTAAATAGGTGCATCTCTCACTGTTTGTAATACATCCTCTTTTTAGTGGGCAAGCTGATGGAACTGCATGGCGAAGGTGGTGGTGCTGGAAAACCTTCTGGGGATGAGGCAGGCACAAAAGTAGAGCGAGCTGATGGATATGAGCCACCCGTGCAAGAGTCTGTCTGAAACTAAACATTGATGGAAAATAAAAGTTTTAATATACAGAACTAATGTTTGGTTGCCTGTATTGCTACTGGACAATATTGGATATGTGGATGGGTTTTTAATAAGGTAAACCTATTGCCTTGGTCTAAAAAAAAAAAAAAAAAGAAAAACTTGTTTTGGAGATCTCTTTTTCATGATTGGTGTTGTGAGATGGGTGGAAGAAGGTGGGTTGTCCTTTTTGAAAGGTGAAAAGTGCAATACCAAGGATTCTGTACGTTGGTTTTTCCCAATAATTTTGGTCCCCAGAAAAGAAACCTTGTGGGTGCGTGCAGAGCTTGTATTGGTGAAAGGTGCTTTAAAGAGGAGCACTGTACAGGGCAGATGGGGTGCCACACAGGGAAACTTACTGTTCCAGAATTTTTTGTGATAGGGAAGTCTTAGGGATTTATCCATACTACTTAACCTGAGAATTACGTATGTGTATGTTTAAGCTTCTTGGTGGTAATTTGGTACGACCTCTCACGGGACAGAGTTGGTCTCTGATAGTCAAAAGGTGTTAAAAGATCTTTAAGCTGCAATTTTGATGATGGAAGCAGTGTTAGTTTTGAGCAGTATAGAAATGCAGAATATGCCCAAGAGTAGGGTTGTATGTAGTTTTTTAACCTCTATCAGAACCGAGGGGTAACCGCAATCACAGCTGAAAAACTTGTGGAACTTCAGGGGAAAAAAATTCTATCATGAAAAGGCAATGGTCTATGTTCTGAGAATAAAGCACACTTAAGCGATTTGCCGAGTAATTTTAACAGTACTTTTTCCATTATCCAATAGCATTGTCGCTTGTTCGGCTTATGCTGGCTTAAAAATTGAAGAGTGTGTTTTTTCTGGCTAAAACAAGGAGTATTTTGCACTATTGGCATGTTTTGTTTAGAATGGGGCAACAAACCTAAAGTTTGTGCTATTGGATTGTTCGCAAGTTTGTGATTTAAAGCCTGAGAACAAAATGGTATGGAGCTGCTTGGAGCAGTCACTGAGGTGGTGGTGGCTCCTGCAGTCAGCTGTGAAATAGCTCAGGACAAGATATGGAGGAAAGTAAGGAAATGGTACTGTTGCAACAAAGATACTAGGGGAGAAGTAGAGGGATGCTACCCATGAGGGCTGTACTCTGCAGTGTTGGGGATTTTTGCCTTTTCCTAGTTGGTAATTCTGGTTTGGAGCAAATAATATGCCAAATGAAAAGAATGTTTTCTCATTTAGAAGACTGCAGGTGATGTGATTTCATGTTGTGATTCCAAGTTACTATTTTAATTGGAAGGGGATGATATTTAGAATAGCCCATGACTTAATATTGAGGTAACCATCTTTATTGGATTGTAAATACAGGCCTACTTGTTCTACTTCTTCCAGTTTGTGTAGTGGAACAGTAGTGAGTGCTCAAAGCTGTAACGAGGCTGGAACAGGAGAAAGGACTAGTGCTGCTTTTAATCCTCTGCTTTGCCCTTTTCAGCTGTACTGTTGAGGTAGGTGTCATCCTCCTCCAAGAGTTCCAGTTAGTCATATTTTTGAAGCCATAAATTGCAACAAATGCCTCTTTACTTCTCTAACAAAAATGAGAACTTTTCACTGGAGTTGGGAAAAGAAACCATGATTTAGGGTCAGTGTGCTGAGGTTGAAAATTCTTGAACCTACTACAGGAAGTTTCAGTGCAGGTGTGTACATATATGTATATGCACATATTCCAGCCCTGCATTAGAGGAAGATCTGTCAGAGCTTTCTTGTAACGGATGTGTGTTGGCTGCATTTCCTCTGCTTTAGCAACAGTTCCATCAAACAAATCCTGAGGGACTGCAACTAGCCTGTACTCTGTAGACTAGGAGAGTTAGAAATCCTAAGGTGGTGTTTCTGAGCTTGCTTCCGAAAACTTACATCTTTTATCCTATTACTTTTCCCTTCAGCTGTACGTCTGAGGAGTGCATGCTGCAAAAAGGCTAGTCCAAGAGGATTTAGGGAAAGAACAAGAGCTTGCTTTTTTCTTTTCGTTTTTTTAATTTATTTTTTTTTTTTAATTTATTTTTTTGAGCAGTAGACTGCTGGCATTACCACGTAGGAGCGCTGGGTAAATGTATGCTCTGTCAAATGATTTCAGATGGGGGAAAAGTAAGCAGTAAGGGAAATTTTATACACCCTCTGTACAAATACCAGCTGAAAAATCACGGTGTATGAATAGCAGCAATCAGCAGAGCACATGCAAATACGTGTAGAATTGCCAGTCAGCTCAGGGTCAACCTGTGCCTTCGTCAGAAGTAATCTTGCCACAGCATGAGTAGAGAGAGCATCACCGTCTTGTGCGATACCATGCGATGACAGCTGGTTGCTGCAGGTAGCAAATGTCACAGGTTCTGCAGGTGTTCAGTGTGAAATGTACCCGAGTCCGAAGGCTTGAATAAACTGTGTTAAAGCCATCACGATTCTCTGAGGGGTTTGGACTACTTGTAAAGGGATGCGATATTACTCTGTGATTTGTTTGGGGTGGGGGGGTTGGTTTTTTTGCTGTTGTGTTAAATATGTAAGCAGAATGAGATCCGTAAAACTGCCATGTCAAGTGGAAAGCTCAGCTCTCCACAGCATAAGACAATAAGAATGCCATTATGACTGACTTAATTATAAAAATTTTATTGGTTAAATACATTCTTAATTTACAGAGGTACCATAATAAAACTTACTGGACTTAACAAAGATTTATTTAGGACACCGTTAATTGTACACACAACAAAGACGTCTTCCTGAAGATATTTCCAGAGGGTGGATCAAACAGAAAATGTTTTGATAAATGAGGCTTTTGTTATCATACTAATGTATGGGGGTCTAGCTGAATTTCAAGGTTACAGCTGAAATTTGCTACTATATTGCAGTTAGGATTTGTGCCTGACCCCATTCTCGGGTTTTTTGCGGATTATGTACTGTACACCTTAGGAATTTTATGTTATGATCTGTATGCAGCTTCATGGTGATATTAGGCATCGAGTCTTAAGAAAATACCTTGCCGTCAAAGCCAAGCATCTAACTTGTTTCAGTTTTAATAAATACGCTGGTTTAGCTGCCTGCAGTAATGCAAGCAGCCTTTAGGTGGCACTCCTTGCTCTGAATGTAAGGCTTTGCTGCTCTTTCTGCCCTGCGTAATAGGGAGGAGTAGATTAAAATAAAGCAGTGGTCTTATCTACTGACAGGCACTGACTTTAAACATTCAGTGGAAGTTACAAAAACAACTGGTCAATACACAGTTATAAAAACGGGGAGGAGGAAATAAAAAAAAATATAAAAATTCAGTTCTACTTTTGAGACTTGTATCAAAATCTTAGAAAACTGCCAGACAAACAGTAAGTAAACATCGTACACTTAAGCCTCATCCACCACCACAGTGATGCAGTATGTCTTTGGAGGATCTGGGTATTCTGTTTGTTGGTGTGGGCTTTGCTTGGTTCTGCTGTTCTCCCCCTGCTGTGCTCACTGGACATTCAGGAATTGTGTTGGCACAGGTCATGTTGGAAGAAGCCTGTTTTAACAGGGTGATCCACTGAAGGTTTATGGTTGAAAAGTCTTGAGTGGGCTGGCAGGAGTCAGGAAAGCTATCTATGTATTTGTTTCCTTGGATTTCTCCAGAAGGAGATGGCTGTTTGTTAGAATAAACAATGACCTTTGGAATCCCCTGGCAGGAGAACTTGGAGAGTGGGAAGGGTTGTCCTCCGAGGTGGACTTATGTTAAAGTTTGATTCCACAGGAGTTCTGGATAGACTTGTTGGGGATGGTAAAACTGAGTAATAGCTCTCTCTAGAATAGCATATAATTTATAATTGTTTTTATAATGTTAATCCTCTTAATGAAAGTAGAAATCCAGTTCTCTGCTCATAAAACTTTGTGACCTTCATCCCCCAGTTGTGCAAATGGTATTGGTGCAGTTTAAATACACAATGCTTCACATTCATGAAGCTTCTAGGAAAAAAAAACAAAAACAGAGGGCTAATGCCTGTGTCTGTATTTGCAATTACCATGGCATAACAGTGACTGCAGAGCGAAATAGTGCCGAGGGCCTCATGTCTGTGATGCGTGTTCCTGGGGCTTGCTTCAGGTGAGCTCCAGTCTGCTACTGAGACTGGATGCCCCTTCCCTGTTGCAGGGGAGTTCAGTTTTGGCTGTAAGCTTGTTTCTGCCTGCTGTGATGGTAACCAAAGTGCAGGGCATGGGGAGGGGACGGCTACCCTCCCCAGCTTGCTCACACACCAATTTAGATGCACCCTGATCTTTTGTAGCAGTAGGTATTTGTTGCTGTAATACTTAGACCTTGTATTGATAAAGTTGTAGGCAGGCACATCACTAAACCAAAACTATCCAAAACTATCTCGAGGTCAATCATGATGATTCTAGTTTCCAGTCTCTATCTACCACTCAACTGTTGGCCCTTTTGCAACCTGCATTTTCAGACCCACAAAGAAAAATCTTGTAAGGGTATCTTGATACCTAGTGACCTGCATCTCTCTGAAGTAATGACTCGTGCTAACAGCTTACTGGTTCCTTTTTGTTACATAGTATGAAAGTGATGGAATACTGTCAGCAGTGAAAGAGCTAACTGCAGCATAATTCTTTTTCTGTTCCAGTCTGATGAAGCTAACGGTTAATCAAGATGCATTTAACTATTTTGTCAGAAGCCAAGGGTTGCAAAAAGGAATTTACTACCAGAAGTTCCGATAATGTGAAGCTACCTCAATCATGTCTGTCTATATTTGTCATTCAAGTCCCACTGCTGCTTTTTACTAAATGCCTTTGTTAGAGCTGCTTGAAGTAACCTCTTGCCAGGCGTGTTTCCCTTAAGGCCTCGACAGACCATTTATAATGATGCTCAGTATAGTTGGTATGTGGTAACAAACTGGAAACTAATCCCATGTCTGCTGAAAGCTAAAACCAAGGCTGTATAATATCCTTCATGTTAAGGATAGGAATAGTGTTGCTGAAGTATGTTCCAGTGCTTGAGTGATAAATGAAATGCAGAGTGAAGACTGGCTTTCCACTTACATGAAGGGGGTGGAGGGGCAAATAGTTGGAACAGTGCAGCATGGAGGGGATCTGAGAAAGCTCAGTAAATGCTGTCTCTCACAACTAACTTCAGCTGGAAAAGAAGGGTACGATGGTGCTTGAACAGTGGGCAGTAGAAAAATCTAAACCTGTATCTGGAAAGGATTTTGGGGGAAGGGAAGAAGGTCTAAGATGATTCATACTGATTTGAACATTATTCGTTAAGAGGAAAAGTACTTAAAGTTTTGCTTTTGTGATCTTCCTGTATGAGCAGCTTGGGCTAAGAATAGAAGAATACTACACAAGGATTTGCTTCAGCATTTTCCCTCTTACCAGTATTAGATTTGATATTTTTTCTATTATAAAATATCAGTTATCATCCTTATTCTCTAAGTCATAAAACAAGTGGATTTTACTGCTAATGTGGAAGTCAAGCAGTAGTGAAACCTGAACATCAAACTTGATCTACATACCGAGTGCTGTAGTTATATCTTAAAAACAATTTTTTAAATTTGGATTTTAAAAGTTTTTAAAGAAGCCCAAAGAAGCTTACTTTATGCAGACTTTGTGCATGATAAATGTAATACCAGATAGTAAACATACTATTTATTACTTACGCTATTTAAGAAAAAAGGTGTTGCACCACAGTATTTCCCTAGTTGGAAACTGCTAAAAATCCTGCTTGTATTTGCTCTCAGAGCATTCATGAAGCATGACTACATACGCTGTCACAAAAGACTTAGATTTTCTTATTTGACTTCAAGATACTAGTATGACTGTCTAGAAAAAGTAGTGCAAAACATTGATAGTCAAAACACATTGATGTCTTTGCTGTGCCTTTAGGATAGAAAACATTCTCTCCCACATGCAGGGAGTACAGAGGCAACACTTCACGGTGTTTTTAAAATCTGAACAAAGTTCTTGGGAAATATCCCAGACTTTCCTTGTATCTCTCCACTCATCCAGTCCTCATCTACAGATTCCAGCTCTGTTATTGTATCACCTGCCTGTAAGAGAAGGAGTACATGTGAGCCAGTATAGCTTACCATCAATGTTAATGCATGCATAGCTGATGTTATTCAGAAGCAATTAATATCAAGCAAATGGAAGTAGGATGTGGCCAGTCTTTTCTGTTGGTTACATCTCTTCGAGACTGTTTGCCTAAACCAGCTGAAGCTTCTCTTAGGGTAAATACTTGTCTATGCTGAAAAATCACCGCCTTCTGGAAGGAAAAAACAGCACTGCTGGATAACTTCTTGTGTTGCTTAAGCTCTCCAGGTAGGTAGATACATTGGAGAGTTGGCTCACAGGCCCCCCCGCCTTACTTGTTATTTGTGTGTGTTTCCCTGCTCTGAGGGTTTATTTTCTTAAGCCTCCCCCCCGCCCCCCAATTTAGTCCCAATATTTTCCAGCACTTGGAAACTTTCCTCTTTCCTTCAGAAACTTTCCCCAAAAGGAAAGAAATCGTTTAAGTAGCTCGGTGTGGCTGTTCAAAATAAACTGCAGCTCCTGTGTTTGATACTTGTTCCTGTTTTCATTGTCCCATGCCACACTCTTCATCTGAAGCACTGTCATGGCCCTGGCCTTTCTTCCAGTACCTCCATTCCCCTTTTCTGCTTTAAAGAATTATCTATCCTTTCAGCATTGCAAGCTGCTCACTCTGAAACTAATTATTTTGCTAGTTTTAGAAGAGAAAATAGTGTGTTCCAGCTGCTAAGCACAATTTGGGGCCTGCTGTGAAAGTCTGCTGTTTCTCAGAAACTTGCTTTTGAGGACACAGTTACCTAAATCATGACTTTGAATCTACAAGGGCACAACGCTTCTTGTTAATGCTTCTTAATATTATCTGGGCATCCAGCAAGTATTTCATTTCTCCCCATGTTCCCATGGCAACTATGTATTTTGCTGCCAAACTTTTAGAGTTTGCTGTACTAGGTGTCCCTTAGAGGCATTGCTGCTGTAGCACTGGCACTCTTAGTTTTATCCTCCTTCTCCCTGCCCTCTTTCTACTTAAAAAAGAGGCTTCCTTGACTGCATCAACTGATCAAGAACTGAACGTACTGCAAAATGAGGTTTGTTTGTCTTATGTTTACTGAATCAGAGAAGTCAGAGGAATTCTGCCACTCCTGACCTCTTTTCAATGTCTTCAGTGAAGATTTTGCCAATATGAAACAGAAGTGGTAAGAGCAAACATTTTTTTAGAGATACCGTTTATCAAATGTGTTAGTATCTATGCCTATTCTATATGCTTCATTCTTGTTCCAAGCCTACCTTCACAGTGGAAAACTCTTATTTTTTTTAGTATTCTTTAGGAGCATAAGACCTTTTGGAAAATTGGGCCAAGAGAGGTACTTACTTTGAAGGAAAGCTCATCTTCATTTTCTCCATGAAAATCATAAAGAGCTTTGGCTTTTCCTTTCTTCCCTCCTACAGACTGTGACGGCTCTACCCTGGCTGCAGAACATGGACAAGACAAGTTATTTTGACTGGAGTGAAATAAATCCCTTTCTGGAGAAGTTTCCTATCATTTTCATGTTTTCTCCCCTCTCATGTGCTACAGGGTGTCCAGATGTTATTGCTACTGCTACTTGGCAAACTCACTGCCCTACTGGAATAAAATGAAACCAGTTCATTTTACACTACATGGTTCTGCTTCTAAGAGGACTAAATTTAAAGTTCACTTAATTGAACTCTCCAGTGGCAATATCTAATAAAAGCTGTCTTTTCTTCTTTGTACTTGGAGATGAAGCAGCACTCCGTGTGTGCTATTTGCCAGTTATGTGGAATTATATTTCCTGTCAACTTTCACTCGTGGCTTTACTTGCAAAAACTATGGGCAAAAAATTGTGATTTTCTGTGTCCTCTGTGAAGGTTTTGACTGCATTGATTTGGGGACTAAACAGAAGCTTGAGGAAAGCAAGCAGCATTCATTCCTTGCTTCGCCCAAGGGCATTACAAAACTTCTGTGCCAAGATGCAGCAGTTGCAGTTATTTACAGCTCTGCCAGCTCTTTGGCTGTACTGCAGTGTTTCTCTTCAGCTGAGGGAGAACCTGGCTCCCCCCCCCCATCTTTTGTACCCCTGAATTCCTACTAAAGGCAGCTCAATGGTCTGTTTTGCCTGTGCCCAAACCACACTTTAAACCATCCCAGAATCTGTATCATGTCCCAGCTTACTTACTGACTGGAGTATTATATTGCAATTATTGGAGAGGGTGGTTCAACACTTAGTTCAGCTTTAGGATATTAAGGAATGAAGTGGCGTGTGGCTTGTTAATGCAATGCAATAGTTGGGTTCTCCCAGAACTCGGTCATGACTGTCACAACCCAAGGAATAATCAATTGCCATCTAGTCGGAGCACTGTACCTGAGCAGGTCTGAACAAAAACTGCTGGGAAAATCCCTTCCTTTTCATTCAGTCTTCCTCTATACCACTCCGAATCTACTTGTTCTAGTATTTGGATGTAGTCTCCCTTTTTAAAGGATAAATCATCTTTGGTTTCTGCTGTAAAATCATGAAGCGCTTCACACCACTCTACTGAGCATCTGTTGTTCTATTCAAGTGAACAGAAGAAATGCATTAATTTTAGAAGCGTTAATGGAGCCCATAAGCTGATAGATACTGGTGAAAGCAGCTGTACAGAACAGGGGTGTCCTGACTTTCTCTCAGACAATAGTATCACTGCAGATGTAGACTAGAATGGCATTTCAGCAATTACCACAGAATTTCATCTAGGCTCAGAGATGCATTCCTTTTTATCATTGGTGGCAGGGGATAGGATTAATAAATTCAAAATTAGACCACTGCAGCAATACTTAAAATAGAGCTAACAAGAATTTGCTTAAGGGCAAAGGACAAAAATTTACTTATGTTAATTTGCCAGAAGCTATGAATTCAATCAATTTAGGCCAACCGTTAGAATTCAAGATGTGACCATGCAGCATTGTGTGCTGTGGGAGTTGTGTTACATTCAGGTTTAAAGTTGTGCAGCTAATCTGACATTATAATAGAAAGTCTATGTAAATCTATGAAACCACTAAGTAAATTCTGGCCCTCACCTATAAAATTTTATTACCTGAGGAAGGGAAGAAGAAACCTCCACCTTATTCTTCAGTGCTGCTCCTGTACCTACACAAGGAAAGCACAACTTAGAATAGCAGCAATGACTATTAAAAATGTTACTAGAGATTTTAGATATTCAAAGTAATTATTAAGAATAGCTTCTTAAGAAGTACTACTATTCATTTTGATTTTTTTTTATCTGTCTTCTCTCCCTTTCTGCCTCCTTCCCATCTTCATTGTGCTTTTGGACTTTTCTCCTATATGCTGCCTACGTGCATGCAGTACAAAACCATGTTCTTGAAGAGTTTTGCAAACGCATTCATACCTGTTCCAGGCAGATCTTCAATTACTTCCACGAAGTTCAAGGGGAAAATTCCACATGTGCCTCTGAGCTCTCCTTTGGCCCACTCTTCATTTACATATTCTTTAAGGATAATAGTTTCACCTTCCGAAAAACTGAGCTCATCTTTCTGATCTCCGATATATTCAAATCGTGCTACACATCTTGGGCCTCTGCAGAAACAAAAGAGAAAATTACTTTGCTTATTTATTATTATTGCCCACTTAATAATAAGACAGCATTGTGCAAAATATGGACTGATATCTTTAATTAAAATGATGAAAAAATGCACTGAAGATAGAACAGGTGGAAAACCGGGGTCTAGCCCTGGTTCTCATCTCTTCTTTCTGAGGAGGATGAGTATGGAGTCTGGAGGAGCTGGAGGCAACTTCTGCATCCCAATTCCTGTCTGTTACAGTACTTTGCATAAGACCCTATTTCTCTTCCCAACAAAACCAAAAAACATATCATTTTGTTTCTGGGCTGCCTCTCCCATTTTATATTTTTGCCTATATCCAAGTAAGTGTCCAGATACACTTTTGTTAAGAGTTTGATGTTTTTTTGAGCTAGCATCCAATTTAGATGCAAACAAACATGAGTGGGGGGTGGGTGCTGTGTATTTGTCCCAAATCCCAAATACATGGAGGTGTCATAAGGGGAAGCTAGTTTTTATCTACCTTGACAAACTTTATTCTGTAAAGTCTATCCCAGGCATGGGGAAATAACTTATCTATCGAAGAAAGAAACATCAATGCAGCATCTGATAAATTTTACATAATTTGGTAAAATACTGAAAAAACTAAATTTCTTCCTTACTTAAATAGGTTTAATAATTTAATAAACTAATAAAACAAATTTAAGAAATTACTCTAAGAAAATTTTTTATTTATCAGAAATACCATGCCGGAAAAAAGTGATAATAGCCTTTAATTCTTTCTATAGTATTGTAGCGTACAACCAACGTAAGAAGCTTGATTCCCACCCCGGTCCCCCACTCAGATCTTTGCAAAAGCTTCAGGACAGAGCTAGCACTTTGTTTTTTTCTTAGCTGCAGAAGCAGCTTTTAAAAAGCTTTTAAAAGTTTCATTTAAGACAAGCCAAGCTCTATCTGAAGAACAAACTGAATGATCCCATTGATACTAGTAGTTCCTGCCTCTGCCTGAATTTGCTTTAATTGCTGCAATGAATGATTACAAAATCCAACAAATCATCATAGAGTAAAAACAGCATGAAAAGTTGTTCCTTGCCCACAAATCTTAGTACAAATTGTTTGCAAATCAGAAATGAAAGTGCTTGAAGTACATTTGATAATTTGATCTGGGGAACTTTAGATTCACCTGTACAGTTATAGATTTTAAGGTTAGATAGATTTCTCTACTTAAAGTACAGCTATATTCTGCCCCAATTTATGTTGTTCTTTCAAATGAGTAGGAGCCCTACCATGTTACATCTTATGAGGACTCTAGAAGAAAGTAACAAGGCCAGGAGCAAAGAGAGGAGAGTGCAATGCTGCTGAAGTTAATCAGATTGGTTCACAGTTTCTCTAACCAATTTTCATGAAAAATTATGGGAAATGCTCTCCTAATACAGCTCATAAGAGGAAGGAAAATAAGTGGACTATATCTATATAAACTTTTATTATAAAGTGATCTACCAATTTTCTGAAGCCATGAAGTGAGTTTTTAGAATTTTTTTTACCTGAATATGAGTCTTACTAAAACATCATAAACTTTCAGTTTTGAGAGTTTAATTTTTTAAATATATTTTGGTGAAGAAACTGTTAACCATATTAACCTCAGCACAGATAAGACCTGCTTCAAAGTTATCTTTCTTTTTACTTCCTTTTTACTTACTAATCGACATGAGAAAGAAAATAAGATTTATCTAACTCACTTAATACATTGTGATGAACAGGGTATTTTTTTCCTGTTGCCTTCTTCTGGAACATCAATCTATTAAGACAACAAAATAAGTAAAATCTTTCATTTCAAGCTCATGGCAACATAACTACAATAAGCTTGGAACTCGTTAAAATAATCTGTTTTTCAGCTAAGCATCAGCTCCAGTTATGACCTCCATGTGACGCTCTATAGTTGCTGGCATGCCATGATATATGACCATATTAATGTATATTTCAGTTTTGTATGCCTGATTTCTCATTTTTCAGTCTCATGCAAACAAGGAGTACTATTTAATGTTTTCTGTTATGAAGCTCGTTTACTGTTTCTACTTGTGGCACAATTGATTGACAGAATATGGGACTGGATGCTACTACAGGTTGTTGCATTTAGCTCACAACTTTCAGTTGGTATTTGCTCTCTATTATTTACTAGCACAATATATCACAATAGACAAAATTATTGTTTACACTTATCCTTTCTAGGCTTTGGTAGCCAGCTGTCCTCCAAACAAAAATACATCTCACAAATCTCACTTGAATTGGATAAATATAATTTAGAAAATCAATACACGGATATATGAAACAGACAGCATTCAAGTCCTTTATCATAAGAAGACTTCAATTGTATTTTTGGTGTGACGTGAATCATGATCTGTGAGATGTATAAGACTACAAGGCTAGAGACCCTGGCGAGGAGCTTTGGGTTACCCCTTACTATAGCATTAGCCAGTTCCCATAAAAATGAACGAGAAAATGTTTCATTAGCTTTTGTGAAGGACTGGAGGAAATCATGCTGGCTGTCCTTTTAGGACAAATAATCTTCACAGTGCTCTTTCTAGAGGAGCTGGTATCTGTGGTGCTCTGAAGGTTCTATGGAAAGTAATAACCATGTATTATTGTTAGGTGTCCAGACCTAAGCTGCTACCCAGCTCAGTACTGTAAAACATACTATAGCGTATTGTATAGAGACCTTGTATCAAGATCAAATCTGACATGAATGAACAGGAGAATTCACTCAGTAAATTAGCCTCATGTACTGCACTCTTTTTCCTTTTTTTTTTTTTTAATTTTGCTGAAACAAAAGATTTTTGCACTCAAATGGTAACCACCTTTTACAACTAAAATAGAAATTTGAAACACATCTTCCCTAGCTTTTAAGAAGTTGTATGTGTCTGCATCAATGCTGAATTTGACCCCAAATACTCATTCTACTGCTTTAACATAAAATCTTTTGTCTATTAGCCATCAGTAGTAACAAGAGCTTTTAAATTAAATTGTTGGCCTGTGTAGAAGCAGCTAATCAATTTAGCTAACAAACCTTTCTTGTGAAAGCGAATAGAGCATAGTTCTGTTATTACTACCCCTGAGTTTAGTTTTTATTCTTCAGCACTTCTCAAATCTTACAATTTTTCTCCAATAACACCATTACAAACTAAACAGACACCCTATACTCTCTGGCGGTTACCAAATACTTGGTATTGTCCATGTAGCAGCAGTGCTCATCTCTGCCAGCTGTTCCGGCTCGACACAGACACTTACTGTCTAATGCCCAGCCATACACCTTCACTGCATCCTGGTGTCAGTTTAGCATTCCTCCGTGTCCATATGGCTGATGTGGATAGCCCAACAGCCCTTTCTACTGTCACAAAATGGACTTCAATCTCAGACTCAGGCTTGCAATAGATTTGACCCAGCTTTTGATGCAGTGAACCATACTGTATCTCTTTTAAAGATGAGACACTCAATTAATTGCTGTTGGGCTCCAAAACAGCACCTGTCTCTTGCCTGCCATTTACTGTCAAGTGTCACATTCAGTTACAGGATTGCTTTAAGCTGCTCATTTGCAACAACACAATCTCCTTGCACTGTGCCAGCACAACCATTTGTGCAGCCACTTAGTAAGCCACTTAGGCGAATTGATCCAGCCAGGAAAAAAATATTCTAGAAGAAAAAACCATGTTTCATTGGGCTCAACTGCTGCCCTGACCTAGTTCACTACATGGCTATAAAAGTGGTGATTCTAGTACAGTTAAGTGACAAGAAAATGAGAGAAGCTGGGCGAGGCACAAAAAGCAACCATCTTACTTGGTCTTGATCCTCACATGCAGTTGTGAAAAATAACCTTCTCTGTAGACCCTGAGAAACTACCCAGGTTAACAAACAGAACCTGGTAAGGGCCACAATTTTCTCACTTGGCTTCAAATTAACAGCAAAATAATCCCCAAAACACAAGTTGGTCATGCCAAATCAAGCATCTTTCTAACACCATACAAAAAAGTTGATATGTCTTCTGTGCTGCCAGAGGGAAAAGAGATTATCTAAATACAGAATGGAGTTAAACACACAAGATCTATAGTAAAATAGAACCAGAAAACAAATGCAATAGGATCTTATGTAGCAATGTATACAAAGCCTACATACAACTACTTTAACAAAGCTGGCAGGAAATATCCCTGTGCGATTCCCACATTTTCCTCTGTACCACTTGCTATCAATTTTCTCCAAAAGACAAACAGTGTCTCCAGAATGAAGGTCCAAGTCATCAGCATGCTCTGTAAGACAGCATCATTTCAGTTAATAGTAGTCATCACACTCAGTGATTTTTCTTTAACTAAAATCTGCTTAATATAAATATCACAGACAAAACCAGAATGAGTTTTCAAAAAGTCTTAATTATACTTGATAAACCAGTTAGCTTTAACTAAATTGGCCCAACTATAGCTAAACCCATGGATTTGAACAACTCTACATGCAGATCTTATAGGCTGAGCTTCCTCATCCTTTTAAGCTCTAATTCCTAAGAAAATTCCTGTTTGAAAGTCTTGGAGTAAAACAAGCTTCCAGAATATTCACATTTACTTACCTGCAGGAAAATCATGCAGGACTACAGCGTGAGGTGCACTTGCGTCAGAAAATTTTGGAGGGTGGTTTGAATCCTGACAACAACAAATAAATCCAAGTAGTTTATAAATCACAGAAGATACTAACAGAGATTCTCTGTGACATACTCTGAAAGTAATTTTCTGACTTTGGACACAATGTTGTTCTGGTATCAGAGAATCACCTTTGGAGGCAACAGTTAGTATTGGTCATATAGCTATGGGTCTGAATTCTGTATGCCTTTTGCCAGTGTAAACCAGAATGCATTTCACCAAAATCTACTTTTGAGCCAATAAAAGGAAGGGAAGGCATGCAACTTTTCCCAGTATAGACAAAGCCTCAGCTACCTCTGTGAGTCAGAAATCCAGAGCACTGATAGCAACTCTCATTGCAAGGGTCGTGGCCAAATTTTGCACTACTTCTTGGTAGTGCGTGCTGCGAATTATTCTTCCTTGCTTGGACAGAACACCCCAGCCCAACTCTGCCCAGCACACTGAGCGGGGGCAGCACATCTGCCGACTGCCAAGCATTTTAGAGGGGCAAGCAAGCCACTAGGCCTTTGCTTACAGGAAGATAACGCTGAGGTGAAATGACAATTTCGTTGTGGGATCTTTATAAAGGGAAATTATATCAAAAATGCTGAGCCTTCTTCCCTATCCCACACACTAGGAATTTTCAGACTGTACTGATGAGAATCACTGTGTGTGAATTACATTCAAAGTAATTCATTGCATACAAAAAACCCAACCAAAAAAGTCCGACATGGAAAAAGATAAGGCCAGAATAATATGAATTACAACAGATAACAACAGATTGCAGATAAATCTATTTCAGCCATGTAGGTTTCTGATAATAATCAAAAACCTATCATAGCCATAACTTACACTGGCTACTTAATATTAATATAGCCATGCCCTAAAAACAGGTTAGGTTCTGTAGAAGCAGAGAGAGGAAAATACTTTGAAGTCTGTATGTCAAAGTCAATTCACTGATATATCATGTACAGCACTTCATAAAACTACTTGCTTATCTTTTGCCCACTTTTCAGATACTCAGCCAAGGGAATGATTATCATTCTATGAGACAGAGGAACTTTACCAGTTTCCTCTCCCTTCTGGCACTCCAAGTAATTACTGTTGGTCTGCCTCTTAAGCAGAATGTCCCTGTGCTATAAGGCAAATCACCATTACTAGGTTTTGTTTTGGTAGTTGTTTTGTTTTTATTAAAGAAACACAAGGATTTAATAAACCACTATTACATTTCTCAGTGTAACCTTTAAAGCCTAAAGCACCTGATACAACGGGAGTCTTGCTCATTAAATATTTATTGGCAGAAAAAAATGCCTTACCTTACAGGACAGTTCTCCAGTGTTCCTGGGAAGACAATCTTCCTTGGCAACTCCATGAGGCACAGGTAGCTTGAATAGAAACAGAGGCAAATGGAAGAGTTTGTTTCACTTCTAAGCACCTGAAATTCCCACTGCAAGTGAAAATGGTCAGATGATGGAACTATCCTGACCACCTACTACAGGTAACTGATTTAGGAGTCCAGTGGAAGAGGACAAGCTCCTATGGAAGGCATTCAGAACAGACTGCTGGTGATACAAACTGCCACTTTGAGAAACCCAGGTGTTGTCATCCACTCTAACAGTGTCTTAGCCACCTAACTGGTATCACATCATACGGTAGGTACATGATGTTCAGCAACACACTGACACAGAAATGTATTCATTTGTCATGGAGGGCACTGAAAAAAAAACCTGGGAGGAAAATTTCAATGACAGTAACACTTAAGAGCAGGAAATGACTAGTGATCTGCTACTGAAAAAATATCATCTACAAAAGTATGTCACACATTTCTTATGTAAATAGGTGTGGCTACACAAGAAAGGAAGCAAAATGCTTCCCTTATCTCAAAGCTGATCCTACTATCAACTTAGATACATCTTCCTCTCTCTTTGTTGCTCCTCTGCTCCACCAAGGATCTAAATGCAGGAGTGAAGATCAAAAAGAAGGCAACAGAAAGCTTCCATTTCATGCTGAATGTTGATGTTGTTCATGCTACTGTTGTGTGGGTGCTCTTTTTGACAGCAGCACTGGTTCAAGGAGTCACCAGCTCTGATCACTGACCAATCTCAAATATCTTGGGAAAGACTCTCTCCATTATTCTGTAAAGTTGATCCATTTATATTTAATATTGCCTAACAACACATGCAATACCAAAAAGAAACATTTTTATAATGAAAAGGCATGGCATCAATAGGATGAAAATGTAAGATAAGTGATGTTACATTCCTCACTCTTTGCAGGCTTGATTAAGCAAGGTAACTACTTTTTAAGTTCTAATGCTCCCCCAATTTTATTAAGCATTTTGACATATACAGGGAAAAAACAATACACAAATGCAATTATTTAACATCATTTTACATGCTGTAATAGAATTCTGAACTGCTGACTGTAAGAAGAACCCCTAAATCCCAAAAGCTATGCATTAAAGATATATCTATATAAATTACATATATACACAAAAATACACACACATATATCTATACTTTGCATGTATATATTGCTTTCTCCAGTACTACCTTACAGTACTTATTACTATTTATCTATTAGTATTTTCTAAGGAAAATTATGCTGATAGATGCACTTTGAAAGCAACATAATAGTAACCTACCTTACTATCTTTTTCACTACTATTTTAACCAGCACTGTTTTATTAACAACAGTCTCAGACAGAGTATCTCAACTCTCACCATGTATTTATTGTAGAGAGGATGACCCGGTTTAGGTCTAGGAGGTAATGCTGGATCTGGATTTTTAAAGACTTGACTTTTTGCTCTCTTGGGTCCCAGTCTGAACTTGCTGGGTTTTTTATCAGGAGCGATGTCAGAAGTAGATCGTGAAAGAGCATCCTTCTGGGAGGAGGTCTTGGCTGCAGAGAGTTTTGGTGGAGGTGGCCTTCCAGGAACACCTTTAGGTGGGGGAGGTCGAGCAGGTATAAATTTTCCATCCACAGGCCTAAAAATTGGGCAAACCATCAGAGAAGTATGCGTATTGATAAGCCTGCCACCTCATCCTCCACCACAGCCCTAGCTATAGAGCATGCAATAAGGAAACGGGACTCATGATGACCTGGGCTGTAGAGTGTGTAGTATCTGAAGCTTGCTGGGAATATATGAACTCTTCAGACACTGGAACTGGATGATCAAGTCCTCAGACAGATCCTTTGACTACATATTTCCAACTCTGCTCACCACTTCCGCTTATCAACAGCCTGCCAGCTTTCTCGGGAGACCACTACATAAGCAGGATTTCTTTCAGCAATTCACCTTTAGAAAGAGCTTTTTCTGAAGCTGCCTCAGGATGGAGTTCTTCTAGTGGAGAGCTTTAGTGAAAGCCCTGAGAAGCTCTGCTGATCTAGCTGGTCTTCAGGAATCAGCCTAGCTCATTCCCTGGGATGTCACTTAACCTGAAGTGACTTTTGGGCCTCTGCTGAAACTCATGACATAGGACACCACTTTGCACAATGGCATCAATAGCAGAATTTACTATTTTTATGCAGAAAGAAAACACCACTGCAAATACTTGAGTTTTCTGCCAGTGCTGGAGGTACCACACTCTCATTAGTGTACCAGTAGTTTAGAAACCAAAATCAGAGACTAGTAAGTGACAGTGGTAATTTTTTAAAACATTTAAATCCCCCTTATAAAGCATTGATTAAAAAAAGCTGCCTATACAGTACACATGAGCCATGATTTCTAGAATCAAAGAGTGTGGCCAAATCAATAATTTGCTAATTAAAAATCACCTCTGTTATAAACAAGCATTATGTACATAAAACTTTGGCTTCCTGTTATTAAGAACCCTGGCACTATCACTATTCCTAAAATACAATATTGTTTGATTGTTATTGGATCTTCAGCCAGTTACTGCAAGTTTCTGCTACAATTGTCTCTCCTTTTTTCATATAGTGTAATTCAGCATAATTATTTGCTTGCATGAATTCCTCAAGGGTCTGTAAAAATTATCAACCACAACAAATGTGCATTAGTGGATCTTTAGTGTATCCTTCTGACATATATTTTGAGTGTCATCCACCACTCATGAAGATACTAGCGCTCTACTAATACTCCTGGTAAAAGCTCTCTATTACTATTTGTGTATGGATTATTTTTTAAATTTCAAAAAAATTTTCCACTTCTGTTCAACTTCCACCTCTCCCCTTTCTTGGCCTCATCCTAAACTAAGCATTTTTAATACTGACAAAAGGGGAAATTCCAAGTTAGACTGCATTAAATCTGGAAACAAATCAACACATATGTTTGTAAGGAAACTCAACTAAACAAGAAAACCCTAACAAGCAATTCAGAGTATTATTACTGCTTACTTAAAAAAAAAAAAAAATCCATTTGAGCACAAGAGTGAAAGGACAAAATGTTTACTGTAGTTCCAGAGACTTTCAGGAGAATTGGGAATGCTCTTATGATAAACAGAACGGGGGAAAGTAACAAGCCCATAAGGGGCAATAATGAGGTGTTTCTTTGTGGGTACTACCATATTCTTTCCTGTTAGTGAATACTTATTATTATTGGTAGACTAAGTTTAATAACTAAAAGATTCTCTTGTCCTGACACAACAGAGCAAACTCTTGTGTTTAAACCCACAGATTTAGAGTGCAGATGCTGAGATAGCCGCCGTGGGCTAGCTAGCCAATGCCTTATCACCCTCCAGTTTGCCTCTGGCATTTAGTGGACCTGAATTTAAGGCTGGTCCAGCTACTTTTGCCTCTGCAGACCTTCTTTCTTGTTGATTCAAAAGAATAAAAAACACCAAGTTTATCACTGATAAAAACCAATGTTATCATTGATTCTGCACCTTCACAGGCATTTTAGGTCTGAAGTGAACTGTAGAAACTAGCCAGTGCTTCTGGAAAGGTGCTGGCCCAGCATCTGCCCTTTTCAGGGTGGCAGCATCTGCCACCTCCATTCCTTCACCACTCAAACCCTGGCATAAGTGCAAGGGCTGTTGATCAAAAGGTCATGCAGGAGGGGATGTTCTGTGTTCAGCTGTGGGTGAAAAGGTTAAAGATGCAGAAAGGAATGACTGTCAGCAGCCACTGTACATTAGCTGAAGAGCCAAACAGCTGTCCTCCTATAATCTCCCTGCTCATACCAATAATGTACAAACAAGTATTAATCTGCTAGCAACTTGGTCCTGCCTATTTATTAGTGAGTATACTATCTATCCAAGCCTATTGAGTTAGGACTAGAGTTGGTGGTGTCTGCATTGAGACCAACTAGGCAAACTAACTCGGAAACACCACTTTTAAGTGAGTCACTGAGGAACTGCACTTACCTTGGGGGTAGTACAGGTTCTAGCTGAGGCACTCCACTCTGTTCTGAATGACCCAACTCCTACAAAGGTTCAAAAGAAAAAAGCCATTTCTTTAAGCCTAAGAAACAAAAATGATCTTGTTTAAATGATGCATTTCTTATATTAAATGATGCATTTCTTATATTAAATTATATCACATCCTACAGACAGGAAAAACAAGAGTTTCTGTAGGTCTGAGAATGAAGTACTAAGTATTATGGTATGTTCTAGCATTTTAAAGTCTTGTTGGACATAGAAGGAGATGTAAATAACCTCGCTGACTACCTGAATCACAGCTTAAATTGTGCATTAGGTATGACCCAGCCCTCTTTTCCTACTACATGGGAGTCAGGGCTTAAGAGGCAAATTCAGGAGAGTCATACAAATGTACAATTTCACTGCCCATAGGATTCCAACTACTGCAGTTACATTATCCATTTTGATTTGACAGATGAAACACTTTGAACAGGCTTAAAGCAGAAAACATGACATTGATGCAACTCACACAGCACAGAGTCTCTTGCAAATAACATTAGCTCTCATTAAAGTAGGCATCTGTTTCCTAGAGGTCTAACAGATAAACCCTGGTGAATCTTTCTCTGGCAGATTAAGGTGTCACTCCTCCTAGCCACCCATCCTGACCCTGCCAGAGATTACTACCCTGTAGCAGAGTCAGCAGAGGGGAACATGTGCCATGTCTGAAGGGCTTGGACCACAGTAATGGATTAACAAGTTACCATCCTTTTTGCCTCCTGCTGTTTGTTTTCATGCTAGTGCCAGAAAGCACTGCCAGCTCTGCTGAACAAGCACAGCTGCTTGTGGAACAGCATGGTAAATCAGAGTGCTGGATCTGGGTTCAAAAGTATCCTTTTTGATCCAGTAATTTTAAATAGGTCTGAACAGTCTTGTTACTTAATCAGGGATACATGTGCTTGAAACTGGTAAACAATTTCTGTGATTTTTCCCACCTAGAAAATACCTAGATGTATTTTGTGACAAAATTTTGACCCTTGATTAAGTCCCCAAATCAATGTTCCTGATCAAATGATCCTGACTGGAAAGAAAACAACCTGCCACTTTCAGATGGGGATGTTATCCTCATAGCACAAATTTTCCTCTTCTGTGTGAAAAGGAAGAAATCTGCGCCAACTGCTGCTTACAGTCAAGAATTTCTACTGTTGCTGGTTAATAACTTCCACTGACAAAAAATACTAGTTTTATAAGCACAACAGTTCTTTCCAAAGATAAGATTTAAATGTTTCAGTGGAATTGATGCAGTCGTCTTCTTAAAAAAATCCTCTGAAGCTTACACATGCCTGTCATAGTAACCTGGATGACATTGTAAAAGTTTTGGGGTTGCACTGTATAAAATGTTATTTAATGTCTTGTATTGGAAATTATTTTTTTCAGCATTATCCAGAAAATATGGGACCTCTGTGAATAGCCTTTTCAACCATGACATTTAAAAGCCCCTTTATCCATTAGCAGAGGTAGCCACAAAGACATTTGTTGGCAGCTGTCCATCTAGTGAGAGCTTTTGATTTGATTTGATCTTTTTACTGCCTGTGGTTTCCACAAGATTCTCTGCCATTCTTGCCACCACAGCACTCAATATTTGGAAATTCTACTGTCATTTTCTAGTTTATTTTAATTCCCTTTTGTAAATCTGTGTCAAAGGGCATATAGGATACACAGCTACAGTGTCTACCGTTACTATGCTCTCAGGAGTGAGGAGCAGAGCCTTACTTTCTCAAATAGTTCTACTCAGGCTCTGACATGACCAGTAGAAAACAACCAGAAGTAAAGAGCTGAAGAAAGCAAGCTTCATTCTTCTACAGAAAAGTTCCCTCTGCGTGGAAATTAGTACAGACACTGAGAGGTACTGTGCGTATGAAGGTAAAAAAATACATTTCTAAAGGACTTTGACAATATTTCACTATGTAAATCTCATTGGACTTTGAACCACTTTGCAGTGCTTTTGAAACTAAATTGTAGAATATCCTGATTCCAGCTGCTAAACACAGAAAATTGAAGATAGATGTGATCAAAGTTTAGTAAAATCAACAAAGTGCTTTTCAGAACTGACAGCAGTCTAAATTACCTAATTAAACTAGAGAATGCAATTAAAAGAAGAAAGCCTTGTGTTTTTGAGTAGTCCTTTTCATCCTTTCGTCCTTCAAATAACTTACATTACAAATGCTTGAGAGTCACAAGAGATCTGTTAACCAAAGCAGTCAAAGTTGTAACCCAGGAAAGCAGTTCTAACTTACCACTTTTTTTAGTACGTCACCACTGTTGGGTTTTCCCACTGTGATATTAGAGGTGTTCCCAATGGGCTTTTCAGCAGGAAGTGGTGGAGGGCTATGCGGGATTTCATTTAAAGCTGTAAAAACCCAAAAGTTCTTGAATGAAAGTCTAATTAATAGCTTCCTTACATGGACCAACAATAGGTAAGGGAATCCACCTTGGTTTGGGGCGTTTTTTTGTGAACGCAACTTCCTTCCTCAAAACCAGGGCAGCCAATGGGCAGGACCACTTAAAGACTAGTGAAGACAAAAGGGACATGAAGGGAACATTGCAACTCTGAGGTGGACTTCTGGAGTACTTCCCATCCTGCTTAACGGATCTTCACTTTACTCTCAGGACACCAGCAAGTTATTCTAGGGTTTCAGCTGCAATACTTCTTGATATAATATTAGATGAGTAGAAGAGTTTCTACCCCTGGGAATGTCAGACTCATTACTGAATACCCTGAAACACCATCACCATCTCTCAGCCACATTTCTAAACTGGCTCACTTTTTTCAGCTGTCAGCTCCTGGAATATCCTTAAGGCTGGAAAACAGCTGAGGGTTATTTCAAGTAACCCTGAAAGATCAGGAGACTTGGATGGAAGAATCTCCAGAAAGGTAAAGGCAAGAAAAGAAACGGTTGCCTGATACAAAATTCAGGGTGACAGAAAGAAAACAGAGATGGAAGCTCCCTAGTAGTCTTTAAGGAGCTAAGCAAATTTAGGACATGGAAGAGGAAACAGTACGGCTCTTACTAGGGAAGAGTGATGACGTCCTCAGTCTCAATAAGGAACACAAAAACCTGCTGATTATATGGTATTTTCTTTCAATGTCTCTGCCATTGAAGCCTGGAAAGCATTTGGACAGGTTTTGCCAGCATATTTACCAATCATTTTGTCTTTATATATTGGAACCTTGCTATCTATTTTACAATGTATTTGTATATCAAAAAAATTAATTTCATACAAAGAACTTCAGACACTTAAGCTCTTCTGAAGTTCAGCCAGTCTTGGAGTTATGTAAAGATATGTGTAGACAGTCTGGACATTTATAGACTGATGATAAAGAAGAGGAGAGATTCTATCCAAATGAAAACTTTCAGTTGCTCATTTCATGAAAAGTACTCTCAGCAAAGAAACGACACATATGAAGGAGAAGTGTTGTTTGTTTTTAACACCTCAGTTGCGTTACTATCATCTAAAACGCTGGTGTGATTTTAAAAATGGATCAGTTCAAGGATAAATCCCTTATTCCTAGGAGCAGGTCACAGTTACCGTGTTGGCAGTGACCAAGCACGGGGGAAAAAAGTTAGTGAAGTTCATCACTCTTCTAAGCTAGTATGATGGATGAGAAGTAAAAAAAATACCTGACAGTAATTGCAGGAGAAATATTCTCTTATCATACCTTACTGATATATAAAAAGCACAAGAGATTTACAAAATTAAAGGAAATAAAAGAATTAAAAAAAACTCCAAGAACTAGAAGGCAGGTGTTATTCTCAGTGATTTCTAAGTGTAATAACTGAAGTGGAAGTTTAATGCTTCCTTTCTAATCACATCTCGACAAAAATGCTAATGCTAAATGAGTGCTTTACTAGAGTTCAAATTCTTAAGCATCCAGCTCTGTCTCCTTTTTGGTAGTGCTGGGGGTGGTGGTGGTGTTTGTTTATTGGGGGTTTTCTTTTTGGTTTGTGCTGGTTCCTGACAGAATTAATCTCACTCCATGCCCACGATGGTGAAAGACCCCTTGTACTGAGATTATGTGGCCCTCTTATAAGGTAAATCCTACTATATCTATGTTATACCTTGGCCCAGTTGTACTTCTCTCATTTTTTAACTTTTAACAATTTACATGTCTGCAGCAGTTCCTATCTGACAACAGGCTACTCTACTTTCTTGGAATCTGCTTCTGTTTCTCCACATCCCATTAATCTTCCAGCCACAGCCTCCCATAAAGCAGTCCTTTACACCCCCCTGACAATCGTAGTCAAATACAGTGACTGGCAGTCTCCTGTGGAAAGTTCAATTACCACTAGAGAGCAGCAAGGGACCAGTTATCTACAAGTTCAAAAGAGAATCCAGCTCAGGAAAAAAAAAGAAAAAAACAAATTTTCAGGCACTTTTTTTTTTTTTTTTTTAATGGAAATTACAATTTCCTTTGTAGACAAGAATTATGTCTTGGGTTCTTTACAGTAGTTCATAAACATATTCTTCCGACTGAAAAAACCCTTTTATTTATGATCAGGTATTAACAGAAAGACTTCTCCTCATAGCTTTACCTTCAGTCTTCCCTGCATTTTTAATCATTTCTACTGCATTTCTCACATATGCAGAGGAAAAGAAAACCTACTATTTTACCACTGGGGGCGTGGTGGGAGGAAAAGGGAACTCAGGAAATAATGAGAGAAAATCTTAGGAGAAAAGCCACCTGGACATCTAGTTGCTACAAGTTGGCTCTACGCCTACTCAATGCAGTAAAACATGATTTTGAAATACAAATTTTAAGAGCTATCTTGTGACATTTCTCCCTAAGCTTTGAGGATAAACCATAAGGCTAAACAGAAGCAAGTATGCACTCCAGCATACAAAGATCAACACAAAGACCTTGTGGCGCTCTGATAAATTTCCACTCTGAGGTACTGTCAGTGTCATTTGTAAAGCTGTGAAGGATTAGAGGTGGAAGGCTTTAGGGATACGGTAACTGTCAGAAAACTATAATCTAGACCTTGACACAAAGTTGAACACATCAGGTTTTTGCATCCAAGTTCTCACAGGCCTTTTTCGTTCCCTCAGCTGCTACCAAAATACTATTGCTTAAACGGCTACAGATTTCAAATCTAACAAGGGTCAAGGGAACTTTTTGATGTAAGCTGTGAAAACTATGCTTACATCCCAACTAAGCTGTGTTTGAAGCAAAGTTTAATACACTAATGTTGTTCCTTTGACAAGTGGGGGTCCTGCTCCCAGGAAGCTCAGGAGCAGCATTTAATGCTTCTGCTGAAAGGGTCTCCTCCAGCTCTTCCCTGCCAGCCTTTATATCCCCACACACACACTGTTTCACCTCTGATACGCATTAGCTCCATAAGGTTTGAGGGACTTCAAACTTAGCACAAGGGAGGGAGCCAGACGAGGTAGCTGGGAGGCAGGGAGAGGGGAACATGACTCCCAGCTATTTCTCCCTCCCACCACAGCCCTTATGTTGGCTCCTCTATCTTGTCAAACTGTATCACGGGATTCCTTTGGCAGCTAATATAGCTAGTAAACAGCAACTCAATTCGTAGATAGTAAGTCCCAATTAAGATTATTTTCTGACAGAGACTTCTCAGACAATTTGGGAGAAGAACTTACATTTCCCTGGTTTAGCTGGGATTCGGATCACAGTGGGTTTCCGGGCTAAAGCTGGTTGAGCTGTCTGTTCCTTTGCAGGTTCAATTTTGGTGAGGAACTGAAATGGATCTAAAAGGAAAAAAAACACCCAACATATTTAATATTTATTTGCTGAACACACATCTCGCTGCATATTGCTTTCATTATTAAGGACATTCATATTTCACACCCAAGAAAGTAATAAAAAAAAAAAAATCAGGTTGATGCAAATAGCATACTCAGCTCTTTGTAAATAACATGTCTTTTCTGTACATCTGCATTGATAGTTGACTTAACATAAACATGCTCCAGATGCCTTCTGGGATTATATAAGCCACTGAACAAAAGGAACTGCATTGCTTGGTAATAGGGACCTGAAATCAGGATGGCTTTAGGGAAATGTTTTCAAAGCAGTTGCTCCAATATGCAGACATAGCTGCGAACACATTTGCTAAAAAGTTTTAATCAATAAAATCTTGCTAAAGCTAAAGAATCAGCACTGCAGCAGATAAAATGCCTATAGAAACAAAACAAAACAAAACAAATGCAAAGCATTTAAGTATTACTGATTACAAAATGTCTTTGCTGTAGAACAACTAATTCCCTGGAAGATTCTGCATCATTTTGTTGATTGTAAACCCGGTGTCATGGGGGAGACTGGTTCAGACCAAGGACTGGGAGTCGTGCCTGAGCTCTGCCCCTGCCTGTATCACTCATTCCTCTACAAGCCTGTCCAATCATTCCATCGGTAAGACAGGAGCAACGTTTTCTGTGCTTCATAAACTTAAGCACTGGTCTCTTATTAATAGGCATGGGAACATATGTGCATGTAGAAAGCAGCTGTAAAAATACTTGTACATAAATAAAATCCAAATCAATGGGTTCTTTCTCAAGTACACCTTCATGCCAAAGAGCAATACTTCATTTATACCACTTCTCTGTTGTTAACAACTGCTACCTTTTTCTCTGACATTACCAAAAACTGCAGTAAAATGGCAACACTTAACGGTATCATAAATGTGTAAAGTGGAAACTGGAGAAGAACTCCGGACAATAAATTCTCTATGACATATATTCATAGCCCCAACAACCAAGTTTGATCTCCTCTGGTGGCCTTTTTAGATGTGTAGCTCAATGAGATGTTATTTATGGAGTGTCAGAGTCTCAGAGAGGAAGTATGCTGGGCATCTCTTTAAATTCTTCAGGACTTTTTATAAAAACATACCCTTTCCCAAAACTATTGCCACACTTTCTGACAAAGTTCGAAGCCCTGTATTTGATAAAATTTTATTTTCAACACTTATAAAAAAAATTTAAAAAATTATGTAATATGAAGTCATGATTTCTTACAGATAATTTTGGATAGTATAACACAATGCAGTGCAAAGCATTTGACACTGTTCCACATGATATCCTTGTCTCTAAATTGGAGACACATGGATTTGACGGATGGACCACT